AATTATATTGCCAGCTAACATATTTGGGAGGTATGAACATATCTTGTAAGCATTTTCAATCTCTTGATCTGTTATTGTAGGTAAGTATAATTATTGCCAGCTAACATATTTGGGAGGTATGAACATATTTTGTAAGCATTTTCAACCTCTTGATCTGTTATTGTAGGTAAGTCTAGCAACAGGAATAGGTTGGGAAAAACCTAAATAAGCTTTTTCTCGTTCAGAAGAAAATCTGTTCTGGAATATTTTATTTGGTAAAATATTCATGGAGTTGTTTATCTTTCTTCTTTTTGTCCACATGGACATGAAACTATTGAGTACCTGCTGATAAACTAGTTAATATTTTAGCCCAGTAACTTGAGAATTAATACAGTACTAGTTTTAGTGCCTTGTGTTTGAGTAACCTCACTTGAGAAATGAGGACCCATAAAGATGATCAGCATCTTACTGTGGTCTGAGAATTAGTTTTTTCAGTGATCCAAAGGAAACTCTGGAGCCATGCTGTCTTGGTTTGTGTCTTTTGCCATGCCTTATTTAGCTGTGTGACCTCAGACAAGTTATTGAACCTCTGCTTCATCTGTAAAATAGAGCATAAAATACTACTATAAAGGGTTGATATGAAGGTTAAATGAATTACTCATACATACAGTCCTTAGCCTGATCGATTCCATGCACACAGTAAGTGCTAGGTAGGTATTATCAGTAGTGGGGGTAGTACCCAGTTTTGCAGACATGTTAGGAGTACTAGGAGTTTCTTGGTTTATATGGATAAGCACTCAACTACTAACCAAAAGGTTGGTGTTTTGAACCTATCCAGAGACGTATTGGAAAAAAGACCTGGCAATTAATTTCTGAAAGGTCACAGCCTTGAAAACCCTATGGAGCAGTTCTGATTTGCATGCATGGGGTCACTGAGTCAGAATCAACTTGACAGTAATTGATTTAACTGGTAAGGGATATTATGAGGGAGAAGCTGGCTAAAAAAACAGAACTGTACTGTAGACAGCCATGAATGTCAAGCTAAGGAAATAATGCTTTGGGGTTCCTGGTTAGTAGTAGCTGTCAAGTCAGTTCTAACTCAATAGCAACCCTTTGTACAACACAATCAAACGTTGCCCAGCCCTGTACCATCCTCATAGTCATTGCCATTCTTGAGCCCATCATTGCATGCAGCCACTGTATCAGTCCATTTCATTGAAGGTCTTCCCCTTTTTTGCTCACCCTCTACTTTACCATGCATGATATCTTTCTCCAGGGACTGATCCCTTTGATAACATCATGAAAATACAAGAGACGAGGTCTGGCCATTCTCACTTCTAAGAAGCATTCCTGCTGTACTTCTTCTAAGACAGAGATCCTCATTCTTCAGGCAGTCTGGTATATTTAATGTTTTTCACCAAACCACAATTCAAATGCATCAGTTCTTCTGTGGTCTTCCTTATTTGCTGTCCAGCTTTCACATGCAGATGACTATAGACAGCCATGGCATATTAGTCTTCATAGTGACATCTTTGATCTTTAACACTTTATAAAGAGGTCATTTGCAACAGATTTACCCAATGCAATACCTCATTTGATTTCTTGACTGTTCCTTCCATGGATATTGATTGTGGATCCCAAAACAATGAAATCCTTGACAACTTCAATCTTTTCTCCATTTGTCATGATTGCTGATTGGCCCAGCTGTGAGGGTTTGTTTTATGTTGAGGTATAATCCATACTAACGGCTGTAGTCTTTGATGTTCATCAGTAAATGCTTCAAGTCTTCACTTTCAGCAAGCAAGGTTGTGTCATCCGCTTATGGCAAGTGGTTAGTGAGTCTTCCTCCATTCCTGATGCCGTGTTCTTCAAATAGTCTCTTGATTATTTGTTCAGTATACAAATAACCCTCAACATACTTTGGGTTAGTCAGGGATTACTAAAAGCTTCTGGGAAAAGTTTAATGATCTTAATTTTGTTTTAGGGTGATTTAGTTTTTAGGGGAAGTTGAAGAGAAGATTGGGATGAAGGTCTCCTGATCTTCAAGTACTAAGTACTTGATAAAGGTGATGGCAGGAATGGGAGTATTCATCTTACAACTTTAGGAACTTGGGAGAAGAGTAGAGATTGGGAAATAGATGGCGCATTGAGTTCCTTGGGGCAGCACTGGACCCCGTGTAGATTGCACTCTGTGCATGTTCTTCCTCGGAGTAGCCTTGCTCATACTACTGCCTCACAGGCACAGCTCAGTGGGTCACAGACTAGAAAGTGTGACCAGTTGAGGCTGATCATTTTTCCATAGGAAAAACTAAGTGAATCTGAAAGAATAGTGGTGGGTTCTGATAGTCTACCAGTTCCTTATTTCCCTGTTGATAATTAAAATTTTTTTGTTAGTTTTAAGGTTGAAGTACAGATGAGTTAGTGGTATAGAATTTTAACCATGTTTACTTGATTATTTGCAGCTTGAAGAATAATCAGAAATGTTTCTTTTTTAGCATCACCAAAATGATAGCTTTAAAAATTGAGGTGGTTATGAATATGGTATTATGAAATCAATCAGGATACCATTTGGAAAATTTTTTCCCCTTTGTTACCTAAATTCCCCCATTTAATTCAGGCTAGAGATATTTCCAGCTGGTTTTTTAGTTCCTTCAGTCTTCTGATGGCCATTGTTACTGTGACCACAGAGATGTAGGTATAGGTCCACACACCACCAACTGCTGTTTTCGTTCAGATACCTGACTGCCAGATCCCCACACCTCATCTCTTCATTTTGGTTTTGCCACAGAAGGAGCAAATGTACTTGGCATGTTTGCTGATTTCAGTTTTCTTTCACTATTTTCCTGAGAGAGGTACCATAATATGTCCCATATCTACTGATGATCCTGATCTTGATGCCATATCACAGCATGCTAGCTCCAAGCTCGAAAGCTGGAAAACTCAGTTTTGATAAATTTAAGAAGTGTTCTGGATGGTTCTAGATCTACTTATTTATTTATTAGAATTCCTTATAATGGAATATACATTAAAGATGAAATAGCCTAATGCCTTATTCTTTAAAACAAAGACCTAAGTGTGGTATCCATTTTTATTGGATCAATAAAATGTGAATTAGAAGTTTTTGAACGCAAAAAACACTTTTCAAACTGTGGAATTTTAGTTATGGCTTTTAATAGTGAGGAAAAATAAAATGCCAATAATTGAATTTTGTAATAAGCAATTACAATTATCCCCTGGTTTTCAAAGGTTCACTTTATGCCACTTCACTTTTACAAAAGACCTACATTAGTATCTGTTTCGCTAACCCCAAAAAATTGGAAGAGGATTTTCACTTTCGCAAAAAAGGTGAAAAACAAAACCAGCATTCAGTGTTTGTTTTGCAGCAAGCTGTTGAAGAGGCAGTGCGCACCCTGAGCAGTGAGAGTGGTGTCTCCTAGCTTCTTCCTCAAAAACTACACTCAGCATCAAGCCACCATAGCTTTGAACAGTGTGAACACACTACTACGTTAGTGTTATTTTAGGTTTTATTGTGTTACTTGATATGATTTGGTAGATTATTTTTTGGGTCTGGAAATGCTCAAAAAAATTTCTAATACAAATTTATGATAATTGTTTTATGCCATTTCAGCTTATAAAAGCTTTCATTTGGAATGTTTTGCTTTTGGATAGTGGGGAAAACCTATATTTAGTAGGAAAATCCTCATTTTTTTAAGGTCAATGTGAATGGATTAAAGTGATCTTGTATTGAAAAATAACATTATTTAGCTAGTGTTAGGAGCTCTGGTAGTGTAGTGTCTAAGGCACTTGACTGCTAACCAGAAGGCTGGCGGTTCAAACCCACCAGTCACTCCTCGGAAGGAAGATGGGACAATCTACTTCCATAGTTATACTGCCTCAGAAAGCCAAGGAGGGAGGGGCCGCTATGAGTCAGACGACACAAAACAACAAAGCTAGTGTTACTAGCATTAATTTGTGTACTAATAGTTTCTTTTCTCAATTTATTTTGAGTATTGAATCAGAGACTTAAGGCCAGCCTATAAATGTGTAGACACTATAGAAATATTCCAGCTTTTTTTTTTCCAGTTAGATACTTTATACTATTTTCAAATTCTTTTCCACACTTTTTTTTAAAAAAAATACTTTATTGGATTTTTGTTGAAAGTTTACATAGCAGGTTAGATTCCCATTTGGTAATTTCCACGCAAATTGTTCAATAGCATTAGGTACATTTATCACAAGTCAGCATTCTCTTTGTGTTCTATTTGTTCCATTTCCAGTATTCTAGTTTCCCTGCTCTCTTTTGAGCAATTGTTGATCTTTTGGTTTCATACAGATGATTTTTATGTACAGCACCAGTCTTACACGTAATAGCCTTTATTTTGTGTGCCGCTCTGCAATTTTGCTAAAACATTATCTCAGAGTAGGCTCAGTTCTGGGTTTAAAGAGTGTCTCAAGATGATAGTCTCAGGGAGTCCTCTGTCCTCTACTGTTTTTATGGTAGTTGATTGTTCCCTCGAATGTAGATGTGGGAACCCTTAGAATGTGAAATGTGTGGGGAACTTACTAAGTGTTAAAAGTTTAATGTGAGGTTTTTAGGTAAAGTTGCTTTATAAAACATAATGTCAACTTTAGGTTTTGAGATTTAGCAGCAAACAAATATATGGTGGAGAATTCAGTTATAGAATGTTTATTAAAGAACCTACAAACTAGTATTGATAAGTTTATTTTAATAACTTTCAATTAAATGAAATACAGTATTTCCAACTCATAGGACCTCTTTTAGCGTTATGTAGATTATTTGGCTATACATGAGAGTAGCCACCTCTGGAGGTGGTAGAAACTATAACTTCAGATTGGAAGCTTTGGATCAAGTTATGTAACTTGAAGGTATACAGCACACAAGATGGAATTTTAATTTTGCCTTAACTGGTAGATACTAGGCATAGCATCCTAAACAAATGTTCTGACTCTGAAACAAGAAGTGGTAAAACTGTGTTAATGGAGAAAATCTTCTCCTACAGGACCGAGGGGATGAGTTCACATACACTGGGAGTGGTGGTAAAAACCTTGCTGGTAATAAAAGGATTGGTGCCCCATCAGCGGATCAGACACTGACAAACATGAACAGGTACTCTTCGTTGTTAGAGTTGGTAAATAAACTTAAGAGTCTTTAGAACATGGGCTTTGCATAAAATAAAAATTTGATTATGGGACTTACACTTTTTAAGTTAATTGCAGGGGAGAGTTTTAATTGGGAGTTAAAAGGATCTAAAATTCAAATCCCATACCTGATTATATAATTGTTTATAAGCATTCTAACGTATTATAGATTATTTCTTAATGGCATATTTCCCAATCTTACATTACACATTGACACCTTTAAAGGAAAGGAGCCTTACACATTTTCAAGTGAAAGTGAGCAGAAGGTGTCTTATCTTCTGTACCATAGGCCAGAGATTCATAATTGTTAAAGTGACAAACTCCCTTTAGAGGAGGTTCACTAATGTGAAATGGGGTTATATGCTGGTATCACTTCTATGGGCATAAGCGAAACATCAGATAACTTGATCGGATCAGCATTCAGGTGCTTTTAGGATACTAATGAGATGTCTTTTAAATGTTCTAAAAGGAAATGTTTGGTGAGTTACAAAAGTTACATTGTCTAACTAAGTCACCTTAAGGTATCACTGGGGCCACCATGCACTGGCTTTTTATTTTGTGGAAATAATGATACTCTACCTCCCGTGGTAACAGAAAATTTAATAACTTTGAAATGTTGATTTTATGAATGTATGCTAATAGCAATATTAATAATACATTAAGCAACCCAAACCATCGGATAACAATTACTACATTTTAACTTGTCATATACTGGTCATTGTTTGGTCATTTTGTAAAGCTGAAAATTTTTTGCTTTTTATTATTAAAGGTATTTTGTGGGTTGATTGAATAGAAGCCAACTTATCCACTTCCTTGAGTCTAATTCTGTCAATTTTAAGCAGTATTCCCTTAATTTCTGATTAGTGTGTGAAGTGAAAAATGATTACAGTATGTTTTTAAGACTTTATTGCTTATCAGGTTACATAGAATCTCTGTTTCCATGTCTTCCTTCTATATTATTTCTGACAGTAGGATTATTTTACTGAACCAGCAGAGGAGACAGGTCAGATTTGCTGGTGAAAACATTCCCAAGGCAGGAGTGAGTCCCTTACTTGTCTTTTTTCTAGCAAAAATGAGCTAGAGACCTCCAGCTCTTCTGGAGGAATGATCTTAAAAGTTGTTAGAAATATTTTGATGTGGTTCTGTCAGTGAAAATGTATCTTGAATTTGGAAAAGGGCTTTTTCAAATTGTCAAATCTGAAAGTTTTATTTTCCCTTTGATTATAATAGATTACTTTGCTTGGATGAGACATCTTTATAACTAATCCACACATGTAATGTCCATGGTGGACTGAAGTTTTTGAATAATAAAGTATGCCCCATTCTTTGTTATACCATCTATTATACCGTATGTTACAGTTGGTTTAGAAAATTACTGACAAGCAATGAAAATGTTTACTGTAAAGGGAAGATGGTGAAAAGAAAATAGTAGCTCAAAACAATTCAGAATTATCAGAGAGATATTAATACACTGACGGGTAGTTTATACATTAAGCTGTAAATATGTCCTGTGACTGTAAGATCCTTTGGCCTACCTGTATGTCTTATAAAACATGAAAACATAAGGTGAAGGCCCTTATCCTTTCTCGATTAGTGTATGGCCCAATTCACTTTTGTTTATCAGCTCAGAGGTAGTTTGACACCTATTTCTTGTTTCTATTCCTATTTCTTCCCAGCTCTTCCACTTTAAGAAATTAAAGAAGGTAGCAAGGTAACCTGGCCAACCTTTATTAGGGAAGTTAAAGATAACTAGTTGGTTGAGCTGCAGGTAGAGTAATGGAAGAGCCTTATTGCTGTTTTGCCGAGTTTCATCCCCTTGGATTTGATTGAAATACCTGAACAGCCTGTGTCCTTATCTGAAGCCAGAAGTGAGTCAACAGTGCCAGTTAGTGGTGGCAGTCATGACTGAAAGAACCTGTGAACTAAAGCATTTTACCCAGTGGCATAAAGGTAGCACTTACCCTAGCTCTTAAAGGAGATGAAGTATGTATATCTCAACAAGTATTCCATATATAAGACATAGAGTTGATGGCTATATATTTTTTCTATCATATTTTAATGCAGCTCCCTTTGTGTTGTTTTTTTTTTTTTTTTTAAAAAAAGATAGCTTTGTAAGCTTTCTAACTCCTTGACCACAATGAAACACTTCTCTAAGTTCATTTACTTTAAAAATACACCTGTGGTCAAGAGATTTCTTTTCAGTGGTTAATCATTGTCTTATGGCATATTTTTTTTTTATTTGAGCCTGCATAAAAAGAACTGTCCCAGAAAAGGTATTTTGTATCTTAATTGATTTTGCTAAATTGGTTATACTAATTTAAAAAAAAAAAAAAAAAACTTAATGTGTTCTCTATGTTTTCTTTTGATGTAAATTAGAAGTAGGTGTCTTAGAGGGAAAATATTAATTTAAACAGATCCTGATTTCTTTGGTAGGATTAAGTTCTCCCAAGAAAGATCTTTTAATACCTAATGCTCTTGCTTTTTAATTACTAGTAAATGAGTGTACTTGCAGGAAAGTTTCAGCTAAGTCAGATGCTGCTTCCAGCTCTGTTTCTTCTTGACCTTGTGTAATCAGTAAAATACAGTGATCGCAAGCTGTCAAGTCTTTAAAGTCTTATTGTCACAATTTAGCACAGGCATTTGGATGCCTCCTTTTTATTTAAATTTCTCTTTTACTGGAGTCTTTCAAAGGGTGTTCTCATATTAAACTTGTTCTTAATAATCTTCTAACTTTTAAGGAATCTTTATTGCCTGGGATGTGGAAAGTAGACCTAGAAAGGGCATTTGTACCTTGCTAACATTTATTTTTCTGGATTTCTTTCTACATTATTCCAGCAATTTACCTCACTCCCTTCAAAAAATAACTTGCTTTAGTTTTCCAACATTCTCCCTCCCCTGAACAAACGTTACTTAAAGAAAATTCCATGTATTTTTAGTTGTTTTCTATTATACGTGGCACAGATGTTATTACTTTCAGAAGAACCCTACAGGCTATCTGAGAACCAATCCCCTGGCTTGGGGGTGACATCAGAAAACTGATTTGTCTTCTCTGCTGGTGGGGGAAAGCATAATCCTATTATCTGGAATAATATGGAAAGAATCATAGAATCTTAACCATCAGGTAAGGCATAATTCACCTTTTAATTGAGCTAATGATTCGATTATATACTTGAAGAAAAATTACTTGGTATAAAGACTTTGTTTTATTTTTTTAGGGCATTGGCCCTAAACTGTGATGCTCCATTGGATGATAAAATTGGAGCAGAGTCTCGGAATTGGAGAGCTGGTAAGCCAGTCAGAGTGATACGCAGTTTTAAAGGGAGGAAGATCAGCAAATATGCTCCTGAAGAAGGCAACAGATATGATGGCATTTATAAGGTGCTCTATCTGGCATGACATCTTGTTAGTCATTCTTCCCGGGCTTTCAAGTCAGGGTTGCCAAAGGGAACTACTGGGGGTGGGAAAGAGAGAAAGCCACCTTGATTGATACTTCTACTTTTTCTGGAAATGTAAGAGATACACAAAGTGAGCTCAGGACTTCGGTACTTTTAATTTTAGGCTTACATGCCTAAGAGCTGGATTGTATTTGGGGAAAAAATTTTTACATGGATAGATTATCTGTGATAAAACCATTTTGGTAACTTGCCGTTGTAGGTCTGTATTCTTATGTACCCTTTCAGAATGATATGATTCTAATAGAGTTACAAAGCAGGGCATATTATATTGTCGAAAATAATTGTTTGAAAAATAGGGCCAGCTATAGGAGCTCTGGTAGCATAGTGGCTAAGTCACTTGCCTGCTAACCAGACGGCTGGCGGTTCAAACCCACCAGCCACTCCTCGGAAGGAAGGTTGGGCAATCCTACTTCCGTAGTGATACTGCCTCGAAAACCCAAGGAGGGGTCGCTATGAGTCGGGGCCGACTCGACGGCACATAACAACAACAAAAAATTACTATAATTTTTCTACCCAGTGTGCAAAATTCAGTTAATGAGTATAACCTTGTTAGTATACCATATTAATAGCACTCTTTACTTCCCTGAGAATTGTCTTAATATGAAATATGGTCAGAGCAATATTGTGAATATTCTTAATTTACTACTCTTACAGCAAAGCGAGTATCTTTTGAAGTGGTATTTAGTTCTGGCACTTTTATTTCAGCCACTAACATTATTATGACATTATAAGTAAGTCTAAACTTTAAATCTCAAAGTAGTACTGATATAATATGATTTAGGTGGTGAAATACTGGCCAGAGATTTCATCAAGTCATGGATTCTTGGTTTGGCGCTATCTTTTAAGAAGAGATGATGTTGAACCTGCTCCTTGGACCTCAGAAGGAATAGAACGGTCGAGGAGATTGTGTCTCCGTTTACAGGTTAGATTACATTTGTCTAGTCCACTTGTATGTTCTTAAAGATGTATAGCTCTGTACTATCTATGTGCTTTAACTCTGGATCTAACCCACGGCAATTGATGGGTGGACTATAAGGGGTGAGGAAGGGGACCAAGTATGTGTTCAGAAGGAGAAGAGTAAAAAAATAAAGCGTAGCATCCTAGGCATCAGACTTCCCTAGGACCCAGAGTTGTGCTTGAGAAGGGCCAAGCTTATCAATAAAAAGTAAAATATTTCCACTTCATTTGGAGATGCCTTAAAGTGTAAGGAAAAGGGATAAGTAAACTTTAGATTAGGAGACCTTGAGAAGGGGCATTTATCCTAGGGACCTGGGGATTTATTGCTGGTAGGGGGAGGAGGGCGGTGGCATATAAGGGTGGTCTGCTTTTTGCCCTTCTCACTTTTCCTCACCCCTTTTCTCTCCCCACCTCAAAGCTGCTTCCCTGCCCTGTCACCATCTCTAGTGCTTTGCCTCCCCCTCGCCCCCACTTTGCCCATGCTCAGCTGTTGATCCATAAGACGTTGCTAGTTTGTGTGCATAGTGGATGGTATGGCTGTATTCCCCCTTCTGCCTATACACCCTAGACTTCCCTGACAGTGACTTCCAAGCACGGTTTGAGCTCATCCCCGCCATTCCCCATTGCTGTGCTTCCTACCCACTTTATCATTCCCCTGGCTCTGCCAACCCTGCATGCATAGGGGCTGAACTATGGGCAAGTGTCTGGCCACCAGGCAGGTGAGTGTGCGTCTTCCAGTGCAAGTCTGATTCTGTTTTTGTTCTTTTTAAACACATGGAATTGATTATTTCCTTGATACTCATCAGCTGTTAAAATAAGTACTAAAATAATACTTTTAATAACTAAATAGTTTTTAAAAAATTATGTCAGATTCATTTTTAAAAGCTTTTTCAGATGCCACAGTTCAGCAGAGTATTGTTCTAAATAGATTAGATTTAAAACTATGAACAGAAGCATATAATAATATGACTGATGAGGCCTGAAGCATGATGAGCTTTAGATATGAGCATTATCACAATGCATGGAATATGTGTGTGTGTGTGTGTGTGTGTGTTAGCCAGTAAAGAGTAAGGTTAACAAGCTGACTTTTATTCCTTAAAATCTTACCCTTATCTGATAGAGAATTCAGCAATTTAGTGCTGTTAGGTCTTCTCAATGTTTCTTTTCCCTGTAACTTGGAAAGATGAGAAAATTGCCCCTCCGTTTTTTGTTAGATTGACCCCACAATTTAGTATAAATCCATCTATATAAATATCATTTATTGTGCTCTATGATTGATCTTCACTTACCTTCTTATCTGGATTCTACTTTCTATCACTTCCTCAAACTGTTCAAGCCATATATAGTCACAGGTCCTGCAGACTTTACCTTTGATCTCTTAGATCTGAAACTATGAGTCCTGGAAAGGTGATTGTGTTATAAAATATCTCAGAATCAAAGCTGTATGTTTTTACACTGAATTTGGAATTTTAATAGTCTTCTGTGAATTCTTGGTCTTTAAATGTCTACTTCTTTTATATAAAATCTTTCAGTTTAGGGATAAAAGCATAGGCGACTCCTATCCTCTCCTTTTTTTAAAGTTTCTCATCAGTATCTAAGACCATCCCTCTCTGTGAAGCTTAAATCTACATTGTACTTTTTCCTCATCAGTATCCAGCAGGTTATCCTTCAGATAAGGAAGGGAAGAAGACGAAAGGACAGTCAAAGAAACAGACCAGTGAAAACTCAAAAAGGCCTAATCCAGATGGTGGGTAATGATTGCAGGGGATAAAGCCTAATAACATAGTTTCTAATCAGGAGAATTAATTGAGAGACTCATAATACATTAAGAGCAAAGTGAAAGTGATTTTTGGGGGTTGGGGGGTTGGGGGGAGGAGTGAATGGGTCTTTTTGTGTATTTTGATAGTGTCAGAGCCTAAACAGCAGCAAATAAAATATCTTAAAATCCATGGTAGATGCTGCTTTATGTGGACTATCATCCTACTAAACATTACTGGCACTGGTTAACACATTTGCTTCATATTTCTACTTAGAAATATCTGTAAGTCTGCTGATGTATTTTTTAAAAAATCTAGATGAGTGTCCAAGTGCCTCCAAAGTGGTCAAGGCATCAGACTCAGCAGAAGCAGTTGAGGCTTTCCAGCTCACCCCTCAACAGCAACATCTGATCCGAGAAGATCGTCACAACCAGAAGCTGTGGGATGAAGTGCTCTCATCTCTTGTGGAAGGACCGGTATGTAAACAGTGTTTTTTACGTAATGTTCTAGTATTGACAGATGATAAAGAATAATTTCTTTAAAATATATGATTTTCACATACCAGCCAAAATGTGATCCTTCTATCCAGTCTTCTTATAATTTCAAAACTAATCTGAGGTGATGCTTGAATACTTGTAGATTGACTTTAGGTTTTTTAGACGTTGGTTTTTGACTTACCAGTGCTTGGTACTTAGTTATGTTGCAGAACTCTTCTTGGAAAAGATTTTCAGTTGTGGAACATGCTTAATCTAAAATACATCAGAAAATATTTTGTTGTACATTAAACCTGCAAAATCTAGAACTTATGTAAGGTAGAAACCTGTCAGAGAAGGTAAACTCAAATACAGTCCAACCAGCTAGAGCTGGAACTTGATATGACTGTCTTACTTTTCTGGGTCTCACAAGTTTTCTGCCTTTGGTGAGTTGTAGTCTTACCACTTTTCTGTCATTCATTTTACTGTAGAAGATACAGTAAAATCTACAAAAGCCAGAACGTGTATAAGGCAAAAACTTGTCAGAGAAAGAAAACTCAAGTATTTTCCACTAGAACTTGTGAGACCTAGAAAAATAAGGCAGTCCTGTCAAGTTCCCGCTCTCACAGGTTTCACTGTACTTCACAATTACCTATAGCATACATCTTTTAGCAGCTCATGCCTGCATGTTCCACTTAAAGGTAAAACAAACCAAGGTTGATTTAAGTATTTCATATATTTTTAATTTTTTTCTGTTTTTTGATAATCATAAATTTTTCAAAGGGAAAAGAATCAAAGTAGTGTGGATTTTGTGTTAAGCTGTGTTTTGCAAAAGAAGCATTCTTTTCAGATCTCAGAAGTTGGAGGTTTCAAATGTGAATTGTCTATTCTTTACTTATTGAGGCTCTCTTCTTGCTTGGAAATTTGAATCTTCTAATTTATTAGATATCAACCCTCGTCATGTGAAATGCAGTTACTTTTCCATGACATGTAGCTATTGTGAGGGAGCTCTGGTAACTTCTGTTTGAATTCTATCTTGTCATCTTTCAAGTAATCTTTTCTTTCCGGTGATTCCTTTGTTTCTCTCATTGCATTAGCAAGAACTTCTCCAGTGTCTGGAATGGATAGCTGAGGATACCGATAATGCGTTTTCTATCTAGATTTAAAGGAACTCATGCAGAGTTTTTTTCACAGTGACTATCATGTTGCTTTTTGTTTGAGAGGTATTTATCATTATCATATTAAGGAAGAATATTCCTGATAGAATTTTTAAACTATTAAAAATGGGTGAATTTTATTAAATTCCCTTTTGATTTATATCAGAGTCACTATTTCTGTTAGCCTATAAATATGACATTGAGTTATCCTTAGCTGAATGAGGTTTACATGGTTGGAAAACAGAAGGCAAGTGATTTAGCTCTGTGAAAGGTATTACTAGCTGTTTTGGTTACCTCTAGTGCTGCTCTAACAAAAATACCCACACATGCATGGCTCGAATAAACAAAAATTTATTCTCTTAAGTTTTGGAGGCCAGAAGTCCAAGTTCAAAGTGCCAGGGTCTAGGGGCTGAGTGAAAGCCCCTCGACCTTGGGCTTCAGCTCTATCTCCTGCTCTCAGCCCACTGAAACTAGAGGCTTTTCTTCACTCAGGCAGCTGTTGGCTGCTGAAGCTGACAAACCCAAGGTTGACAAGTAACAAGGCACCGTCTTGATATTACCAAACCACACAGCAAGCCATTGATTCAAGTCCAGAAAATGTCCCAAGATCGGCAGGGCGGCATGGCAGGCTGCTGAACAATGACTCGTCCACATGCCATAAGTTATAGACCATTCTCAAAGCTTCTCCTTACATACAAGAAGCAGACCACATCCTTAAAGCAGCTACTCATCTGCTCACAGCAGATTCTGCCATGGAATTGATTGCCAGTCTCGTCACGGGGAATAACTACCACCAGCTGCCCAGCCTCTCAAAACCAGGCCAAGCCAAGTTGACATACAACCTTAACTACCACACTAGCTTTTTAGCTAAGAGATCAAGGCATAACAATAATCAGACTCTGATCAAATTCGTTTCCAGCTGAAACAAGCAAGATACAGTAAACAGTTGTTTTCACAGTCTAATTAATCTCTGGTTGGGTCACATACCACTGGTTAGTGAAAATACAGGTGACCTCCAAGTCTGACTGGGCAGGGGACAAGTTGCTATAAAGATTCAGGAAAAAGTCATCTGAGTGTACATGAAAGTTCTTGTTTCTCTGGATGGTGTTCCATTGGTGGCTGGATCTTGCATGCCTAGGTCAGATATTGTGACCCTGCTATTAGTGATTACTGTGGACGTTTATATGTTATTACCCTGGACAGGTTTCTTGCATTCTGGTCGGACAAACGAGTAACACACTTACTCAAGCCAAAAAAATCAGGTGTTAGCCAACAGTGACTTTTAAGTAAGCACATATTTTAAATATGTTTGTACATTTATATCCATATTGCTTCCCAAGTCCCTACATGATCTGCATCCCTGTGTACCTCTCCAGTCTTCTCCCTTGCTACCCTCTGGCACCCAAACTACTTTGGCTACAGTGGTCTTTGTGGTGTGGAAACACACTCGCCTGGTCCCTGTCCTAGGCCTTCATACAGGCACTGCCTCTCTGCCTAGAGTTTGCTTCCCTGCAATCTTCACGTGCCTCACTCCTTCAGATCCTTTTAAGTCTCTGCGTAAATACTGTGCTTGGCAGGGAGACCTTCCCAAACTACCCTTACTAAAATAAACAAATGGAAAACACCAGACCTGTCATTACTGAATGGGACACATGGTGTTACAGAATAGAACTTCTCCATAGGATTTTCTTGGCTGTAATCTTTATAGAAGATGGCACCACTGGATGGGTACAAACTACTAAACTTTAGTTTAATAGTTTACCACAGACCATTTACACTACCCAGGGCCCCAGGGTTACAGGTGAGCAGAGACAACTCAGGGACGCCCAAAGTAGCAAGCGGGAAGAGCAGGAGAAAGGGGATTAAAAGCCAGGAAGCCAGAGAGAAGAGCA